ACTTTGTAGAGGTATAAACCTAGAATTAAATTATAGGTATAGCATAAGTGAAGGTATTTTGAAATTAAAATAGGGGAAATNGTTAATATCATGAAAAATTCGCCATATAATTAAAAACTTGCGACTTCTTATGTTTTAGTTACTAAAATTTGGCCTATGTAAAAATTTTATAGCAGATAGAAAATCTCATTTAACTTGCTCGAATAGATATGTATGTAAGCATGCCTGGAGCACTTTGTAGAGGTATAAACCTAGAATTAAATTATAGGTATAGCATAAGTGAAGGTATTTTGAAATTAAAATAGGGGAAATTTAAATTTAAATTAATGTCGACCTATTTACCCTCGGAATTAGTCTTTGCTCGTTGCTCAAAATGAAAGCGATTTTGAAAGGATCATCAAAGTCAAATTTCCATGCATGGAGAACACAATCTGCAAGAATTCTTAGAAGGGAAAATAACGAAGGTACACCGTGCCACAAAAACAAAAAACAAAAAAAATCTAAACACGCGAAGCAGTCAAAATATACTCGCGAAACCATGGACCAAATGTAGTAACACCATGTTTTTAGTTTTCTCTTTGACGGCAGGAATTTTTTAAAAAGACTTTGTAGTTTCAAAGATATGATTAATTCCAAAAATCATTTAAAAAACTCTGCCCAATGTAGAATAACAATATGGGTGCCAACTGAGAGAGAAAACTCTGTAGAATTAAAAAAAAAACGTTTTGGTTGACAAGGACAAATAGGTATTGAAAATGCCCCTTTACTAATTTTATTTTTTCAAGGATTATAAAGATAGAAGGATGAAATTTCAGCAAATGGTCGAGTGTGTATTAGTTCTTTACATATAATTTTTTCAAAATTTCAAGGTTATCGAAGGATAACTTAAAAGGCCGTTTTCAATTACCACTCGTCCTTTTGTCGAAACGGCTTCACATATANAAGGCCGTTTTCAATTACCACTCGTCCTTTTGTCGAAACGGCTTCACATACATATGTCAAATGTTTTCACAAAAGGGGAGCTTTCCCCGACGTTCGTTTTCGACTTAGATGGTGAAGTTCCTAGCATGAAGTTGAAAAGTGTCCATCGGTATACCAACCATGTCCATCCCCGCAAGGATGGCGGCAGTCGTACCATTCCTCTCCAATTCGTCAGCTTTGAAATTACTCACAATATCTCGGTGTCCAGGCGCCCATTTCAGTTGTATTCTTGTATAATGCTAGGTCATCTTGTTTAAAGATCTGTGGCATTCAGTGGGAGACTTTGTGTGGTCCACATGAGTTTACAGCTTTCAGCGCTGCTTAAATGTCAGAAAAGATAAGGATCTGGTTTATTTTTACCAAGGAACAGTTATTTTTTTCATATACACTATAGTGGTCAGGGGAGAAGACTCCTCCTTCGACCTTTCCGAAGAGCTTGGAGCCATCAGTATACATATGTATATACCCATACAAATGAAAATTATAAATTTTCACAAATTTTATAGCTCTTAACAAGATAATTCCACACAAAAGCTTTTTTTAATGAAAACGTTTATACAGGGTGTCCCAGAAGTAACGTGCCAAACTTTAGGGGAAGGTAGGTGGGTGGGTGAGCTCCCTGATAAACAAAAAATTTTCAGGTAAAAGTGTACCCGTTTTTGAAATATTTACATTTTTTCCAATTAAAAAAAAGTCGTGCCTTTTCATGTGTTTTCTTTAACTGCAACTACAAACCGGGCAATACTTAGTAAATTT